TTTAAAAAAGGCAACTTTGTAATTATTGTCTCACTGTTTTCTTTGATCCAGTGAGAAGCTTTTACATTAAACATTTTTCTATTTATTACATTTATATTTTTGATATGTGACGGTAACATGTTAAAGAGTCTTGGTCCAGTAAAAGATACATGCCTCTGGCAGGCAAGGAAATCAACCCTGTTTGTATAGACATGATCTTGGGTGATGGATCTAGTGTTAATATTATGTTGAATATAATTTTTATAAGTATTTTTATATTTCATATAGTTTAAGGTGCTTTTTACGTAGAGTTCTCTTATTGATAGAGCTCCACTCTCAGTGAATAAGCTTTCAGATGAATATCTTTTTGGTTTTTTATTTATTATCTTGAGAATATATTTTTGTGTTAGTGTTAAATTCTGTAAGATATTACCACACGTACTTCCCCAAATTTTTAAACCATAGTTTATGCTAGATTCAACTAAAGCTTGATATATAGTTTTTAGCAGTTTTTTTGTCATAAATTCCCTTAATTGGTAAAACTTATATATTGTTTTCCTAATATTCTTAGTTATGTATTGAACATGAATATCATATTTAAGATTTTGGTCAATATAAACACCTAGATATTTTATATTTGATGCTGAGTTTATAGTTTTTGTGCAGTTGCATATTGTATTCTTATTAAAGCATTGATATGTATGTATTTTAATATCAGGTTGGATATCAATATTATTATTACTTATTGAAAATGGTACAAAATATGTTTTGCTTTCATTTAGGGTTAGAAGGTTTTGATCCATCCAGAATTTAACTGTTATATATTTTTCTGCTAGTCGATATGTATCTGTCCATGTTTTAGCTTTAATTAATATAACTGAGTCATCTGCATAACAGATAATGAGGCCATTTTTTTCTGGCAATATCTTTGTAAGGTAGTTAATGTAAATTGAAAATAATAGAGGTGCAAGGACCGTGCCCTGAGGCAGACCCAATTCTACTTTTTTCTTACAGCTTACATTGTTACCGATTTTTGTTTGTTGTGTTCGACCATTGAGGTATGAATCAAATAGTTTCCATTCAGCTCCTCTAATTCCAATATTCTCAAGTTTTTTTTAGCAGAATTGGGTGCGCCACAGTGTCAAATGCCCTTGCAAGGTCAATAAAGATACCAATGGTTTTGTAACCATCATTGAAATTTTTTGTTATATTTTCAGTCAGGTGTAGGATGGCATCTTCAGTGCTCATCTT